AATTGGGAACCTGGATATTGACTGTCAATCACTGTTATAAATGATGACCTCTTCTACCAGTCGACCAAAACAGAGCTGGTAATTTTGAATGTTTTATTCAATAGTATATTTTCCAGAGCAGTGACAGTTCCACTTAAACATTATTCTTAATATTATGTAACGTTTCTACCATGGATACCTTGGATACTACTTCTCGTGATGGACACACTTTCCCATAGGTTGTAACATTTGGGCTCTAATTAAATACTTATACAGGGCTTGACATAGTGTTCACCATGAGGGGGCCAATTGCCTATAACTTGTTGTGTGATGAACACATTATAATCCCCCACCTGAATCCCATGGATGGGGGGAGGGTGGACATTAGCATGTTCAACTACCATTGATTGTTAAGTAGCCCCGACCTGCCACCAATAAGTGGGGACTGGAGAAGACATTAGGTCCCCCATTTATCAATATTAGACACCCATCCATTGCCCATAAGTGGGTGGACACTAGATTACGCTCATTATCAATGTTAAAACCCCCACTCAGTAGGGGTGGGGGTGGATATGTTTCTGCCCTCCTACCTTTTTATGACAGGTCCCATTCACATTGGATAGGGTATTTGTAAATGTGTTTCAAGTAGAGGCTAATTTTGAATCCATGCCCTCACCCGTATATTATATTAGAGTTATATTGAGCCTCAAAAGGTATTAACTATTTAATGTGGCCACTGCTTGCTTGCCAGCCACCCTATTATTAAACCTTGCATCACTGATATGTTTCGTTTGGCCAAATTTTTCATTACTGAATTTTTTTGGTCAGGCCAAACCATCACATAGCTGATCATCAAATGTCTGAACAAAGATTTTAATTCTGAGAACTTTGTTCTGAAGAACCGAACAATCGTACAGTGCTCAAATCTATTTTTTTTTTATTAACTTTAAATACAACAGAATATAACAATAGTTAAAAGCATATTCAAATATGTGCTTAAAACCTTTGGTAAATGAATAATGTTTAGTTTGCTGACATAATTACTTCAATGTAATTTTTATGAGTTGTAGAAATCTTGGCATTTTCACTGAACCAGATAATTAGACTTTGAATAGAACAGGGTCAGAATAATTAATACATCAAAACTAGATGAGCATTTTCTAATTATTTTTTATTTAATCTCTATTATAATTATTGTTATACTCTGCTGAGCATGATTGCCTCATGTTCATAGATTTAAATTCTGTCTTATAGTTGCATCCTGGGACTTTGTGGAATATTAACAAACCGTGGCCTGGAGAAATAACAGTGGCACATACTGTACACCCATGATTGAATTTAAAATTGAAGTGTTAAAAAGGCTCTGTAAATCTACACATATTTAATTATACTATTTAAAGATGTATATGAAATAAATAAATTACTGATATGTCTATAACACATAGGTCAGAATTTCATACACCTGCCTATAGTGTACAATACTATAAACATTTAAAAGTATGCTCCACGTGGTTTAGATGTTTTAAAGCATACCCATTACCAGTATAATTTTATTCAGTTCATACTGACAGATTCAGTCTTACCGTGAGGCAACTGCTAATAAGAAAGAGAGGCAATGTTATATTTGCCTTATTTTATAAAGCTGATTTCAAGAGAAATACTCCTTATATTCACCTTCCTTTCTGTCAGTCATAGAGCTGGGAAGATTTCCTTCATCATTTGCATTGAATGAATGTACAATACTCTAGTGAAAGCCTCTCATAAATAAGCACTTGATTAATGAGAAGCATCCTACAGGTGTTGCATGGCATTTCCTTGTATACCATTGGTCCTTCAATTGTTTTTATGAGATGCATTAGATTGGCCTGAAGATTGTCAGCATTAATCATTTTAGTGGCTGTGCTGCAGTGACATAGCATTCTCTCCCGCTGAAAAAGAGATAGTGGGGGGACCCTAAGTTTCACACCAAAAATAAATACTTGTGATCCTTCAATGGAATTCATTCTTTAAATAAATTATTTTCTTTTATTGTAATAAAATGATTACTAGACTACTGAGAAATATAGTGTATGAATGAGATGTTTGCCTATGCATATTTATGCCAGGCTAGCCCAAGACATTATGTTGTCGGAGTCAAAGGACAACATTTGGATCTACTTACTAAACTCCCACTCCAGTATAACACCCAGTTTTTGCCATCATGGGATATTCCATTGATTCCAGGAACACGTTAGCTTGCCCTTTGATAAATCCCCACTTAGGTCTCAAATTAGTTTTTGCTCACTTGTGCCATTACAAAGGGAACATATTCAAAAGCATATCATACTGATCCCACCTGTAAGGGCAGTCCAAAACCGAAATGTCAGGAAGTTCTCTCTGCACTAGAGATATGGCAACCTTGGACGATCGCTTATTTTTTAGTCAAGTTAGCATTTCACAAAATGGTTGGGGCATTAGAGACACTAAACATCACCGTCTCATTCAAATAAATTCTTGCTTTATTCTTGTTTATTCTACATACTAACCAGAGGGTCTGCACTCATGGTTTATTTCTATACCTATATCAACAGGATAGGTGCTATTGGTCATAGGGTTTGTATTCCCAAATAATCCTCAAGTAACAAGTAGGAGACTATTAATGGAAACAGCAAGCAAAAAGTTTTTGCCTCTGGATGCATTCCAGGGAGGGCCAGCAACAGTGCTCACATGACCGCCAGAGTTCAGGATAATTTTTTTTCAGTGTGGGCTTTGTTAGATACTATTTATGCATCAATCTAACCTTGGGTTATCTGTTATCACAATTTTAATGTTTTTTTTGCCATTTTTGCATTATTTTTCTTTTTTTAAAAAGATGTCTTGAATTTATAACATATTCTGCATTAGAAAAGTCGTAATTTGACTCAGCACTAGTTGGGCCTTGAAACTTCCAGAGCACAATACAAATGAGAACGTGTTTGTCATATTTAATAATTGTTTATTGAATATAATTATATAATTATTGTATCATGAATTCTAGTATATAAAGGAGTGATTGTTTACTTGAATTTATGACTTGACAAAGGCCAATATAGACCGACATGTTGTAACATTTTGTTGCTGATTCCATTAAAGAGGTCACTTTAAAAGGAATAATTGAGTCCCTATATCTTCTATTTTTATTTGACCCATATATTTATGGGATGAAACTGAATGACAATACCCAGAAATTTTAGACAACATAGCCATTGCCCATAGCTGTAGTTGCTACATTGCTTAGATGTAATTTTCTCTGTTGCTGCTCCTATGTCCCACTTATTCACAAAAAGTATATTCATTGTTGCCAAAGCTTAGTAACTTAAATTTAGTCTTGTGTGCACACTTTTATTTCAATAATATATACACTGCTCAAAAAAATAAAGGGAACACAAAAATAACACATCCTAGATCTGAATGAATTAAATATTCTTCTGAAATACTTTTTTCTTTCCATAGTTGAATGTGTTGACAACAAAATCACACAAAAATAAAAAATGGAAATCAAATTTTTCAACCCATGGAGGTCTGGATTTGGAGTCACACTCAAAATTAAAGTGGAAATACACATTACAGACTGATCCAACTTTGATGTAATGTCCTTAAAACAAGTAAAAATTAGGCTCAGTAGTTTGTGTGGCCTCCACGTGCCTGTATGACATCACTACAATGCCTGTGCATGCTCCCGATGAGGTGGCAGATGGTCTCCTAAGGGATCTCATCCCAGACCTGGACTAAAGCATCTGCCAACTCCTGGACAGTCTGTGGTGCAACGTAACGTTGGTGGATGGAGCGAGACATAATGTCCCAGATGTGCTCAATTGGATTCAGGTCTGGGGAACGGGCGGGCCAGTCCATAGCATCAATGCCTTCATCTTGCAGGAACTGCTGACACACTCCAGCCACATGAGGTCTAGCATTGTCTTGCATTAGGAGGAACCCAGGGCCAACCGCACCAGCATATGGTCTCACAAGGGGTCTGAGGATCTCATCTCGGTACCTATTGGCAGTCAGGCTACCTCTGGCGAGCACATGTAGGGCTGTGCGGCCCCCCAAAGAAATGCCACCCCACACCATTACTGACTCACTGCCAAACCGGTCATGCTGGAGGATGTTGCAGGCAGCAGAACGTTCTCCACAGCGTCTCCAGACTCTGTCACGTCTGTCACATGTGCTCAGTGTGAACCTGCTTTCATCCGTGAAGAGCACAGGGCACCAGTGGCGAATTTGCCAATCTTGGTGTTCTCTGGCAAATGCCAAACATCCTGCACGGTGTTGGGCTGTAAGCACAACCCCCACCTGTGGACGTCAGGCCCTCATACCACCCTCATGGAATCTGTTTCTGACTGTTTGAGCAGACACATGCACATTTGTGGCCTGCTGGAGGTCATTTTGCAGGGCGCTGGCAGTGCTCCTCCTGTTCCTCCTTGCACAAATGCGGAGGTAGCGGTCCTGCTGCTGGGTTGTTTCCCTCCTATGGCCTCCTCCACATCTCCTGGTAGTGCTCTGGACACTACGCTGACAGACACAGCAAACCTTCTTGCCACAGCTCGCATTGATGTGCCATCCTGGATGAGCTGCACTACCTGAGCCACTTGTGTGGGTTGTAGACTCAGTCTCATGCTACCACTAGAGTGAAAGCACCACCAGCATTCAAAAGTGACAAAAACATCAGCCAGGAAGCATAGGAACTGAGAAGTGGTCTGTGGTCACCACCTGCAGAACCACTCCTTTATTGGCGGTGTCTTGCTAATTGCCTATAATTTCCACCTGTTGTCTTTCCCATTTGCACAACAGCATGTGAAATTGATTGTCACTCAATTAAGTTGCCAGTTTGATTTCACAGAAGTGTGATTGACTTGGAGTTGCATTGCGTTGTTTAAGTGTTCCCTTTATTTTTTTTAGCAGTGTATGTTACAAAATCTTTATTATCATGAGGATGGCAATAAAGTATGTGTTACAAAGGTGAAACATTGAAGTATAGGAGAAGGGGTGGTACCAGGGGCGGACTGAGAACCCTCAGGGCCCCCGGGAAAAATAAATCAAGGGCCCCCTTACAGGCCCCACCCATACTCTGCAGCAAGCGCCACCCTTGCCCCGCCTCCATGCACCGCCTCCAGCCACACCCTACACAATCTTTAGACACAAGGAACAAAAGGGCAATAAGCCCTTCGAGGCCCCAGTAGAGACTACAATTGAGGGCTAATGGGCCATGGAGGGGATTTCTAGCAGAGGCTATCTCAGTGTCCTTTAGAGAGTGTGTTAGAAAGAATCTCCTCCATGCCCCATTAGAGACTACAATGGAGTCTAATGGGGCCTGGAGGGTGGTCTCTCCAACACTCTGGTTCCTATTCACAATATAGCAACACAACATAGCTCACTGATACCTAGGCCAAGTTGGCTCCTCTTTCCTTAATTACTGTTGCTGGCTGGCAGTCTGTGGGCTTGCTTGCTGCGGCTGGCAGGCTGTGGGCTTGCTGGCTACTGCCGGCAGGCTGTGGGCTTGCTGGCTACTGCCGGCAGGCTGTGGGCTTGCTGACTGCGGCTGGCAGGCTGTGGCTTGCTGGCTGCGACTGGCAGGCTGTGGGCTTGCTGGCTGTAAGCCTGTGGCTTGCTGTAGGCCTGTGGGCTGGCTACTGGCCTGTGGGCTGGCTACTGGCCTGTGGGCTGGCTAACTGGCTGGCTACTGGCCTGTGGGCTGGCTAACTGGCTGGCTACTGGCCAGCCTGTGGGTTGGCTGGCTGGCTACTGGGGCACTTGTAGATTATTTAAAGAAATAATCCATGCACAATAACCACTACTGCTCCAGAGTAAGTAGGCAAACCGTTTAAGAACAGTTTGACAACTTACCTGGGGTCTGCTGGGATATGGGGCTGTAGTAGGGAATAGGAGCAGTGGTGCAATGTGTGTGAAAGGTTCAGTGTGTGTGGGGGGTGTAGTGTGTGAATGTGTATGGTGTGTGGGCTGTGTACGTGTGTGGCAATGTTAGTATGGGGGGCTGTGTATGGGGGTCTATGTGTATATGGGTGGGCAGTGTATGTGTGTGTGTGAGGCAGTGTGTGTTAATGTGTATGGTGTGTATGGGGGCAGTGTGTGAATGTGTATGGTGTGTGTGTGGGGGCAGTGTGTTTATGGGGCTAGAGTTCACTCTCACCACTGCGACCACCAGGAACCCCTGGGGGTCACAGTGTTGAGAGTGAACACTAGACCGTAGCTCCAGGGCTAGAGTTGACTCTCGCAAGAGCGGTAACGTTGCCATGGTAATCGCGGCAACGCTCTGTGCTCGTGCAAGAAGGACCCAGAAGAGCTGCAGGGTGAGCTCCCAGGTCCTCTCTTCCTTCCTCCCCTGCCCGCACGGTGCCTGCGGACAGGGGAGGGGGAGCAATTGCCCTGTTGCCCCCCTGGATCCACCAGTGATATATACAGCCCTTCTGTGTGCCTTTTTGTCTCCCCCCGTCCCTCTGTATGTTTCTTTCTCCCCCCTCCTTCCCAGTCTCTCTTACCCCTCTGCCTCTTTCTCCTTCTCTTCCACTGTTTTTCTCCCCCCTTTCCCTGTCTCTCCCCCACATCTCTCTTCCTCTCTGTCTCTTTCTCCCCCTCCCCATCTCTTTCTCCCCCTGTGTCTCTTTCTCCCCCTCCCTATCTCTCTATTCCCCCTCTTTCTCCCAGTGTCTCATTCTTCCCTCTCTGTCTGTCTCCCCCCTCCCCATATCTCTGTTC